CAGAGTTTAATCAGAGGAACTCAAGCTGGAGCGTAATGAGTTAGAAGTTCAGCCAAGTAGCTCGGTGCACTCAGGGCCTGAAAAGTCAAAGAGTTATAATTTAAACTTGATTCTAGCAGCGAGTGAAGGGAAGCTAAAGCAGGTGAGTGAGTGCTCATGCTTCTGTGATTTTGTTAAAGGTCAAGCAGCTACATTTTAGACACTGAAGATAAACTATCGTATTTTGGCCGAGGGATGTAAACGCAGCATTGGACTAATCCATGAGGTGAGATAAGATAATGAATTACTCATTGAAGGAAATATATCTATCTTAAAGGTTAAAGAAAGACAAGATTGGGCAAGTTTTGAAAACATTGTCTTTCAGGAATCAAGGTTGAAACGGTAATGAATAAATTAGATTAAGTCTTTTACAGGAGAAACATTATATAAGGCATTATCATTGCACTTCCTTGGGCCCTTCAAAATAAACATGCCGAGTGTGAAGCTGATTCAACGACATTTTTTAAAAAAGCTGCTGGAAATATCATCAGCGTTAAAATCACAAGCAAACCAAAACTTTTCACGTCTGCAATTTTAGAAACTTGAGTAAATGCAGTCACTGCTGTGTGTTTTTCAGGTCATTGTGTGTTTGGATGTGGAATAATATCGTACAAGTCGTGTGTTTGGTCAATACAGTAAACATCAGCTGAGCTACAGAGACTAAACTCTGCTACAGCACCCAACATGCTGTGATTGTCCTTCAAATGCTCCGACAGCTGCCCCCAGCACTAAAGACACAACGTCATAAAACACACACACACACACACACACACACACACACACACACAACATGGCCTCACACACACAACATGGCCTCACACACACCTCCCTCTCTGCTCTGTGATGCAGTTAGTGCTGCATCAGGACCAGAGCCGATGAAAAATGGATGACGAGCAAAAAAACGGCAACAAGGAGGGAGGAGGGTTGAACGGGTTCATCGAGGAGTTGTGAGAGAAAGAGAGAGAGTGAGAGAGTGAGAGAACGATAGAGAGAGAACCTGTGTTCCTCAATAGCCATCCCTCTCACAGCTCTACGTTCACACACATATGATTTGTCCTCCTCTGTCTTAGTGTTATCATCAATCAGGAGCCATTTTGTGTCATTTCTCACAGAAAACAACAGCCTGGTGCATCTCCAGTGTCGTTCAAGAGAAAACTCCTCGGCCACCGAGGGTATGAAGAAAAAAATCACATGAGAATGATAAATACTAAATAATATGTTGCGTCAGAACTAAATATACCGACTAGAGATTGGAAACAGTTCCTTTATTTGTTCAATCTATGGTACGAATAGATGGACTCAACATTAAGATTTGGAAAATAACATAATGTTTTAGATCTGCTTAAATAACAGCTGGTGTTTTCTTGCCTGTTATGCAGAATAAGCATGTTTAGGGTACAAATAGTGGATTTGTGATCGCTTTGTGGGCTCGTACCTGCACTTTCAAAACACACACACACACATACATACACACGCGCACACACTCACCCTGAGTTTGCTCTTTTTTTTATTTTCACTCAACCTTTGTCACCAGGCAGGAGGGAGGACTGAGGAACAATCGGCTGATTCTTCTGCCTTTATGTCGCACTGGCAGGTCCCCCACTAACTCTCTCTCTCTCTCTCTCTCTCTATCTCTCTCTCTCTCTCCCACTCTCTCTCTCCACACCCGCACTCTACACAGCAAAACGGGGCTCCACCTCCCACCCTGTCGGTTCCTTCCCCTTGTTTTGGGCCGCTGCACATAAGGGGCCCTGGGGGCTTGTCCCCCCGTCCCGTCCCATCCTCAATGGATCCTCTGTCTGACCCCTTCCTCCTCCACCACCTCCCCCTCCACTCCCTCTGTCTCTCCCTGCAAAAAACAGGATAATCAGAGCCACGGCAGCCTCTGATCAGCCGCAGCTCATTATACAGGAACGCACCAGCCTTAATCAGCGCACATTATATAACATAACAGGATGTGGGATCATTGGAGTCACCTGCTAACGCAATTGTGATGGGTGGAGAACCTGACATGTGATGCAGGTCTCATGTTCAGGTGGTTGTCCGCTGTGTGTTTGCTATTGTTTCCTTAGAGTGAGTGAGTACATGGACATGTATTTACAGAAAGCTCTTGTGCAGCTGAGGAAGAAGAAAGGGAAATAGATTGGGGAGTTAAGGAAGAAAAGAATCTGTGACCTCCTCTGTCACTTTAACATTATAGTAATGTTTGAAAAATCACAACGAGTCATTTGTCACCGAGATCCTGAAGTAACACGACCTCCCGATTGTCTCCACGGCTCAAAGAGCAACTTAACACCTGCAGGAAGTCGTGTTGCTGCTGATCCCCAGTGATTTCACTTCTCACCTTGCTGCAGCGATGTAAGAGTGTAGTGCAGGTGGGTCAGTGGACTGTGACATCACTGTTAGCTGCAGTTACAAAGCACTGAAGACCACACAGGAGGAGAAACTTCAAATCCACCACACGAACGAGTCAAAGATACAGGCTCCATCCACACTACGTAATAGCTTTTAAAACAAGAACCGTCCAGATGAGGGTTTTACTACTCTACCAAAAATAATACTAACCCACCTGAAAATGCACATCACGTAAACACTGGCCGTGCTCGTGCTCGTGGGCAGGAAACAGGCTGTCTATTTGCAGTTGGTTGCTTAGTTGCAGAAAGAACTTTATGCTTTATCTGTTGGACTAAAACAAACAACATGACAACACCTTCTTGGTCTCCAGGAAGTTGTGACCACAATTTGACATTCTTTTCTGATGTTGTCAAAACTGAAAAATTCAAATGACGTGTCTATAAACAATCTGTAGATTGATGAACAAAGAAATGAATCATTGGTTGAAGCCTTTTTCTCGCTTTTTAATTTTTTTTTAATGGATTCGTAGCCCAATTTAAAAAATCCTGTTCAGCACAAAACACATCTGTCATTTCCCATCTACCGTCACAGTATATGACTTTTATGTCACATTGATGAAATTCACTGTTGTGAAGCTCTTCCAGTTCAAATTTGTCTCAGATTCTACGTCAATGTGTTTGACAGCTTGGAGAATTGAATTATGTGTATTATTGAATTTCTGTGAATGAATGATTGAATATTTCTCCGATGCTTTGGCTGCCGATCATGTTTTTTATTGATTGGGAATACAAGAGCAACGGCAAACAACAACACGGCCGCAGTTTGGCTGATGATACCTGTGATGACAGCTCGCACAAGAGCGAATGAACACAACTGTGAGTTAAATCCTGACGTTAAGCCTCTGGTGCTTTGTGTCTCCCTCTGTGTCATTAAACTCCGTGGTGACCTTTCGGGAGGAGAGTCAGGGCCACAAAATCTGACCCGCTGACCTGCCTCCTGCCAAAAATCAATAAATCCAATAGGTTATACGAGGCGTGAACAGAGCAGGTGACGGAACACGCACTGTCATTAGTGGGCACCTTCCAAATATTCATTCACACGGAGCTGAGCAATTTACACCGAGGTGAGAGCGCTGAGTGGACAGGATGCCTCACATGACGACATCTGGAGCACAACACTCTGAAGGCCGAGGGCAGGAAAAGAAAAAACACGTTGAGTGATAAAGACGTCAGATTAGATCAGGGGTTTGTTTCACTAGAATATCTATATTCTGCTTTGGTGAGAGGAGTGATTGAAACAGAAAACTGGTTGAAATGATCTGGAATCATGTGACAAACTCGTCTGTGCTCAGTAGTTCAGTGTGTCAGTGACACAGCTACATGTAGGAAAGCTCTAATTATATTATTGAATTTTAGCAATTTTACTATTCATTAATAGTTTATCAAACTCTGGGGTCTTAGTAAAATTTCAGTTTAATTTGACTTGATTATTTGAAGTAGAGTTTAAACGATTTGTTGATTTA